TTCCACATCTGCCACAACTTATATCTGTAACTCACCAAGTAGACCACATCCAGAATTCATACAACCGAAATCCTATACCTTCCCACGTCTTTCACCCAATAACAACGTCTCTATTATCACCACCTCGCTGGTTCCACAAAGTCATCCGTATACCTCCCAAAGTGTGTTGCCTAACCTACACGGTGTGAGACATGCTACTAACCAGAATACCGGTGCGGTGACTAAGCAGCCAGACCTAGACAACAAGCTAAACGAAAGCTTAAGTCACGATTTGCAGATTCTCCTTTTTGGCAGTGGCTACTTCTAAATCCCTGAATTCCTAAAATCGGGTCAATCTTCTGGAACATCGACCCCCTGGTATCCGGGTGGTCTCCTTCAGCCTCACTGTTGCAGCCATTCAGCCACGACAGCAAACTCACTATAAAAACCCCCTTGTACGCCACCAGATCGAGAATCTTCCCATTTCACCAACTTTCGTATTTCTGCACATCTGCATTTCCGCCTGAACTTATCTCCACGGAAACGCCTTCCATTGGACCGCAAACTACTGTGGGAAGGGGTCTCGAGACGCTGTCTGTCGCCTAAGTTTGGAACCGCAACGGACAGTGCCACGCTACACTTTCTACCAGGCCTTCCAGCTTCCAAAAGCATCCCAATTTCATCTCGAAAGCCGTCGCAGCCACTTTTGCAATTTTTTTTCGCTCGACCTTTTTGTTTTTCCTTTGGCTCATTTTTGGCTATTTTTTTTTTCCTTCTCTGCATCCAACAACCTCAACCGACTCACCACCAACCTCCACGGATCCTTCCTTCCATTCTCTCCCCCCACCCCCATTATACCCGCTGAAGCCTCCGTGTGACTGGTCCCGGCAACCCCTGAATCCCCAATTTTTACACCATGTCGGGTTCATTCTGGAAGCTAAGTAACGGCTTCACCTCGCTTTCCAACGTCACTTCCATTCTAGAAAACCACACCATCAATGACAATGCCCAGGACGACTCCCAGACAATCGGCGTGCTCCTAAAGCTTTTGGACGAGAACGACTTGCTCCAGGAGTTGATGTCCAACAACTCCATGTTGCTCGAGTTCTTGCGTAACGACAACGTCATCAGCATGCTCGTCGACCTCTTGATCCTGGAGAGCTTGCTGGGCGAACAGCTTGCCATGAGCTTGAAGAGACTTCATCTCCTGGCGGATTTGAAGGTTGAGTCGAAGGAAGACGAAGACGACGAGGCGGAAGAGTCCAAGGAAAAGGAAGATAAAGATGAAACGGCCGAGGAGGAGCCTGACAAGGAAGAGGAGGCCACTCCCGAGCTGTCTGAGGAAAGACGATCGCGTTACGCCACCCTCTCGGCTGAGATCTTGAGTGCTGACGTGTGGTCGCTCACCGATACCGTGATGGAATCGACGCAGAATCTCAACAAGTTGTGGTCCATTCTTGACTTGGAGCAGCCATTGTCGATCAACTTGGCTACCTACTTCATGAAGATCATGGAGCACTTGTTGGATATGAAGTGTGAGGAGATGATCACCTACCTCATTGACAACCAGCCTGCGTTGGTCCGCAAGTTCATGAACCACTTGTCCAACCCACCCCTCATGGATTTCTTGCTCAAGCTTATCTCCACCGATAAGCCAGACAACTCCACCGGCATAATAGACTTTCTTCAGGATCAGCAACTTGTTCCGCAGCTTGTTGAGGCCCTAGACACGTCCGACTCCGACGCGGACATGGACGAGTTGCTCGTTAGACAATCATCGGCTGCGGACTTCCTAAAAGCACTTATCACCATTTCGGCAAACTCCACCACTGATAATTCCACCATTGGGCCCAATGAACTCACTCGTGAGCTTGTTTCCTATGACATCATGGCCCGCCTTCGTGACATCATGTTGAAAGGCGGCTACGCTTTGGCAAATGGTGTGGGTATTATCATTGAGATCATCAGAAAAAACAATTCTGACTACGACATCTTACCGGTCCTTTATATCACCTTGGAGAGCCATCCACCAACCGGCAGAGATCCAATTTACTTGGGTCACTTGTTGAAGGTGTTTGGCAGCAAGATCGACGAGTTCAACAAGTTGTTGATACACGTCAACGAGGGCTCGTCATTGCTCACCACGTTCGGTAAAATCGAGCCCTTGGGATTTGAACGTTTCAAGATCTGTGAGTTGATTGCAGAGCTCTTGCACTGCTCGAACATGGCTCTTCTCAATGATAACAAGGGATTTGATGTGGTTAAGATCAGAGACGAACTTAGAAAAAAAATGAGGGAATTTGACCCTGTCGCCTTCAAGTACAACGAGGTCATCGAACTTCCTGCCGATGACTGGCAGCCCAGTCTCGACGCAGAGAAGGAGTTGACCAAAAAGTTTGAGAAGGATTTCCCAAAGCATGAATTTGATGACGACAACGATTTCAATGACACCATTGACTCTTTTAATTCTAAGATGCAAGACTCTTCAGTCGCCCATCATGGAAACCAAAATAGTGGTGACGAAGACGAGCCACCCCACAGTAACTCGAACTTAACCGAGGAAGAACTCAGAAGCAGCCCTGTTGTTGGTGATTACCTCAAGATCGCTTTGTACGACTCTCAAATCGTGTCAAACATCTTGTCCATGTTCTTCAAATTCCCATGGAATAACTTCTTGCATAACGTGGTTTTTGATATTGTTCAACAGGTGTTGAATGGCTCCATGGACATTGGCTTCAACAAGTTTCTCGCGATTGATATCTTCCACTCCGGAAATATTACTCATAAAATTACGGAGGGCCAGCGTCTTTGTTCAGAGTATGAGCAGGAGCACTGCGGTATGAGACTCGGCTACATGGGTCACTTGACATTAATAGCAGAGGAAGTTGTGAAGTTTATTCAATTATACCCCGTCGGCACTGTCAGTGAGTTCATTGACGAAAAGATCGAGGACGACATTTGGGAGAATTACGTCAGTCAGGTATTGTATGATACGAGAAAGAAGTATAATGCAATTCTTGGCGGAAGTGATGTTGATGACGATGAAGGCTCCAATACCTTCGATGAGAGCACTGGTGAAATTATTGAGGAGAGTGATTTTGACAGTGGCTTGAGTCTCAACCCCAATATCGATCATGATTTGATTGGCAGCAGCTACGAGCACCAAGAAAAGGAGGAAGAGTTCCATGAAGATGTTGACAGCCGCGAAGAGACTGACACAGAAAAGAAGGACAGTAATAAGCTTAGCTCAAGCGATGAGTCCGAGTCTGAGGATGACGACGATCATTTTGCTAATTATATGTCCCTGCAGCTCACGATCTCCGGGTCCAATGCATTCCAGTCCTCGCTCAGTAGCAAGGCGAAAGAATTGAAGTCGGAAGACGACTCAGATAAGTACAAGGACTTCCTCCATGTTTCTGGAAACGGCGAAGGAGATGAGGACGATGACGATTACATTGACCCCAATGATGATGGGATGTCATACAAGAAGGCAAATCCATTATACGACTCACAGGGACTACTTGTCAAGGACAACATGCGCCAATTCCCAGGGCACACAAACAATCTGAGTGAGGACTCCACGTCGAGCTCCGACAGTGACGATGATGACATTCCCTTGAACACTGATGACGAGGATAACAAGGACAACAAACTCACACGAGTTGCAAGCAAAGGTTGAGCTCAACCAAAGTAAAGCGACCTCAACACGAACAGCATTCACGTCATGAAACAGCTTGAGCTCCGAGGCGCTCGCGATAGACTACGCTGTGCATGCATTTAACTTTAATGATGCTAATGAAATACGATTTCCATTTTTCTAGATATTCGTAGTTCCAGCTACTCTATGATGCAATTTCGCTTGCTCTTCTTCCTTCTCTTTCCAAAGGAGGGAGATGAGCTACAGTGCTATCGACTTCATCTTCAGCACTAGGCTTAGTGTTAGGTTTTGTTGGTACACCGCCCATGAGACCTTTGCTCATGGCCAAACCAGAGGATCTCTCAGCTAGGCCGTCACTCCAGAACTCATCTTCAATTGGATGCATGAGAACAGTGTTGTTGCTGGTGATCGAAATCATCGTGTTTGTAGGGACACAGATCCAATCTCCACGTTCAAATGTTAAAGGTTCACTGGCGACGAAGACAACATCTTGGGATCTGTTGAGCCTCTCCATCTTGTACAATCCATCTTCGTACTCCAAAAACCGCAGGCCAGTACTGAAATGCAAAGAGGCTGCTTCATCGGTTTTTGATGTGATGTAACGAGTTACCACCACAGACTCACCATCTGTCACAGCAAAATTTAACAAGGAAGGCTCTTCCGTTACTTCACATTGCCAAGTCTTTATGAGATCGATCGTTCTGAGTGTGGCTTGCCTCAAAACCTTATGCCCAAAAACGGTTGAAGGGTCCTCAGGATCGTAGCCCATCTTATATAAGGTGTCTAGTAGCAAAGCACAACAGCACTCACTATCAGTAGAACCCTGAATGAATGTAAAGAACTTATCCTCCACGTGGTTCATGAGTTTCTTCTTTATCCTGTCGAAACTCGACACTCCTCCGTTATGCATGAACATGATTCTGCCGTACAGAAATGGATGGCAATTAGTCTCAGATAATACTCCCTGAGTAGAGGCTCTAACATGACCAAAGACAAGCAGCGATTCTGTACAGTTCGATAATGAATTAAGATTGACGTTGTTCCAAGCTGGAGTGATGGCTTTAAATATGCAAGGCTGGTCTAGCTTTCGATAGTATCCCACACCAAAACCATCTCCGTTGATAGGGTTTCTCATATCTATACGGAGACGTGAGTCAAATGACTGGTTGATAATGGAATGTGCTGGTTTTGTAAGTAGGTCTGAGAGCATCATAGGCTCTTTACCCTTGTAGATCATGAACCGGCACATGGTGTTTGTGGTTACCTTTAGAGCTCGATAGACTGGCTGATATGTTGTGAGGTCACGTGCGTCAACTACGTTTGGCTGCGAAATATGCTTAGGTATTCTATAGTGAGACCATCGTCACTTACCAAAGATGCGGTTGACCTGGGTCAAGACTCGGGACGTGGCAAACCACATCGTTCCAAACGTGAGTGAGACGTTGAAAACGATGAGCAAAAGCGCACTAAGCATGAACCGAGGGGCAAAAATCTTCCACACCATCAAGTGACGTCTAAAGTGGGCAGCAAAAATGAAACTCATGATGCTGATAATAGTTTGATACGTGAGCAATGTAGTAACATTAGTTACCACTTGCGCAAGTAGCGTGATGGGTTTTGCTGATGGAGGAATCCTCCAAAGGGTGATGAGCGGCACCGCGAGGCATATAATGAAGAAGGAACCGAATGTGTTGAGTATAATCGTTAACCCAGAAAGGATGTACAGAACCTTTTGATTCACCATAAAGCCGATTTCCCATTGAATCGAACGGATAGCCGCCTGATGCCCCGTACTGAAAAAGTGTTGATAACCAAGAAGCCCAAACACGATCACAGCGACCAAGTTTCTTTGAAGGTTCAAGATATCGTAAAGCTCTAATAGCGACAAAAGTTGCACCACCATAATACACAATGAAACAGCTCCAATCGGCTGCGTAACTAGAAGAATGGCACAAGTTGCATTGATAATGAGCAAGAAGTATGACGAGCCATAAACGTTTTCGTAGCCTAGAATTGTAGCTGATGGCTGTCTTGGTTGTCTAGGTCTTGGTGACAAAGTCTCTCCTTCATCATCAGAGTCGGATGACATCTCAAGACTGTTGTTTTCGGGTGCATCAGACATTTCTATCTTGACACACAAGGGACCCCGAGACCAGCTGAAATTGGCAAGCACAAGGGCAATAAACAACACAATTCGAGCAATGCCTAGCTTCAAAGATTCGGTCAACCCAAGATCGATGAAGGACTTAGCGATGTCGCCGAGATAGTCATTATTTTCCACATATTCAATCGTCCAGTATGATGCGTTCATGAACATAAGGAATTTCATTCCAGTTCCAATCCACAACGGTGCTGCTGAATGATAAGAAGATGTGAGCGTGTAGAAAGATTTGATGATAGTAGGTAATAGGTACAGACAAACGTGCAATAGCACAATTGTCCACCAATGAGTTTCAAACGTCGACACACAGTACTGTTCCTGTTCTTCACGACATAAATTGATCATTGATACCAACCTCGTCAAAATGATAAAGGTGGCCGCATGCAGAGCTCCCAAAATACGTTGATTGAACAGTTTGGGACTTCTTAGACACCCAAAAAAACAACAGAATCCAAATGTGGTGAGACAGAAATTCACGAATTTATCTTCCCAAACAACATAAGAATTGGATGCAAAAATCATGCTGTGCATGAGCACCATCAACAATCCCATTGATGACCAACTGTTAAGATTATAACTGAAAAAGTCTTTCACCTGATGCCAAAGCCAAATAACGCTGAACCGATCCATAATCGGAGCCCAAAAGCCAATGGAAATGCCAATTGCACATCCAAGTAACAAGCAGGTACGAAGAGTGACACCTGAGGGCCGTAGAACAATAAATATGGAAATGCTAGAGACAAGGCCCAAAAGGGTCATCGCAATTATGGAGCCGATGAACTCAAAGGACATTGTCAGGACTCTCACCGAAGGAATTGAGCGTGAGTACGTGATGGCAAAAGAGAGGGATAATAGCATCACCGTGATGCCGAGCCCTATAAGTACCAAGTCAAACCGAGCCCAAAGTCCCTTGCAATGATCTAAAAACTCCTCCTGAAATGCCTTAGATTCCTGAATTAAGTCTGAAAAATGTTTTTTGTTCTTCCCATGCTTCCTGAAGTTTTCTGAAATAAACTGGTATTTCTCCGCAAACTTCACATCCAGTCCAAACTCATTCGAAACCTCTCTGAATCTATTGATTTGCTCGATGGTGATGTGACTGGCCAAGTTAAGCTCTTTGTCGTTGCTGAAGACCTCATCTATTGGAAATCCGAGATTGTTGTATGGAACTGGCAATCCCATTAGCAAAGAGATCGAGGGAACCAAATCGATCTGGTTAACAGCTCTATAGTTCCGGCCTTTATTCGTAAGGTCGTACTCGGAAGCCTCGTGCTTATTGATGTGAAACTTCCTGTTCTTGGAGTAGAAGAAAAGTGTACTTTCCAACTCTTCGGGACTATCACCACCATGGTTTCCTGTGGAGTCCATTCCGTGATCGCCCATCACGATGAGCAAGGTCTTATCGTCTATTTTGTTCACCACGTCCTCGATGACAGAGTTCATTTGATGCAATTTGTCTTTCATAGCGTGGTGACGGGGCCCGAATCTATGTCCCACATGGTCTAGGCCGAGGAAGTGTCCAATGAGAAGGTCCCACTCCTTTGAACGACTGCGTTCGAGCAATGGATACATATGCTCTATCACACCGTTGTCAACGGTATGTAAGTCTCCCACGTCAAAGGAATCGTAAGGAAAATGGAGGTCTGGGTTGATATACGCTTTAAACAAGCCATCCCAGGTATCGTCTCCCATAAATGCAATAGATTTGTTTTGTTTGTGAAGCTGAAGAATCCAATTGTCCTCGTCTATCGCCTCACCATTAAAGTTGGAACCAGCGTCAATAAATGTCGGTAGGGTTCCGGTGGTAAGGCCCTTGAGACGCTGCAACGTTGTTGTGGGTGGATCAGCCAAGAACTTTAAGAGTACAGCGTTGTCCGGCTGTTTTTGCATGAGATCATACAAGATGGGTAAGTTGTTGTGAAAGTAGGGATCAGCATCAGCATCATCCACAGGTATGACAAAGTCAAAACGCAAAGCATCGATGACCACAATGACAGTTTTCTCAAACTGAGCTGGTAAACAGCCGGAATCACCACATTCTGCCAAGTCGGGCAAAACTTGTCGAGATAGAAGGAACCCTTTGGAGAAAAAGTAAACTCCGATGAACTGGAGCACGGCGAAGAATACCAACACAACGAGGTAACCAAAAAAACTGATTTTAAGCCGCTGCAGCCTTAACCGGCTACGGGCTTGCTGTTGCTGTTTCAACAGCATGTTTCGGAGATTTCTTGTAGTAGTTTCTGGGGTATCAACATATGGTCCGGATGCCGGATCCGTGGAGTTTTTGTGCCGGGACACACTAGGGGGAAATTAACAAAAACGTCTATTAAAGGGAAATCCGGGTTTATTTGGTGTTGGTGTCCCGCTGGCCGTGTGTTTTGTGGTCCGTTAGCTGTTGATGTTACCTGTTATCGGTATTTTTTTGTCACCTACATACTTGCCAGGTATCTCGCGTTTTCAGATGTCGCACGTGAGGGGCACCAGGCTTCAGCACGTGCAATCATCCTGGAATTGGGAAAGAACTACTCCATGGTGTGATCAATCTGACTGAGGAAATCCGAGTTGAAGGCGTCGTCATCCATAATTCCGCCTTCTTCGTTGTCAGGACCAAAGTTCATCAACGCGTCCATGTCATCACCCATCATGTCATCATTACCCTGTGGGTCTGCGAGGAACTGATTAAGATCCTCCATGTTGACATCGTTTTCATTATTGTCCTGCTTGTTTGGCTGCCCTGGCTGTGGAGCAGGAACATCGGGTTTCTCCTGATGGCTTTCGCTACCGTGTTCATTCATCATCGCCATGGCAAAGTCTTCGTCTCCGTTGCCTTGCATGTAAAGCTGACCGTTATTGTCGTTCTGATGGTCACCAAACATTTGGTCCTGGAAGTCCTGTTGCTTCTCCTCGGGCTTATCCTCAATGTCCAAGAAGGACGATATCAGACGTGGATTGTAGTTTTCAGGCGCCTTTTCAACCGTGGCACCCAACTCCTCTGCTGGAATGGACCGCTTGGTGTACGCGGTTTGTTGTAGCTTGTAGTTCTTGTTGTACTTCTCCTCATATTCCGCCAAAGTGTCCTCCAAAGCATTCTCGAGCTTCTCAAGCGATTGTGCGTCGTTACACTCGCGATGGAGTTTCGCTAGCTGTGCCACAGCCTTCTTTTGAAACGTCATTTCGTCGCTGAATGACTTATCGGGGTCTTCCTTCATTTCGGCCAAAGCTTTGCGGTCTTCTTCAATCTCCTCCTCAATCATTTTGCCCTTGAGCTTCATGAGCCTTATGTCCCCGAAAATAAAATCCTCCTTTTCGAGATTTCGAAGTACCTCTTTCACTTTATCGTCTGTGGCATCTTCTTCGTAAAGCTTCTTCTTGTGCACCGGGAAGGGCGAAGGAGGTGCTATTTTTGATGTATGGAACGGTTTCAGAGCCGCTGTTTCTAGAAGGTCTTGATTGCTGATGAAACGGGAGAATGCATCGGCACGGAAGTTGATCAAGTCTGCTTCATCGTGAAGTTGTAGACTATCACTTTTTAACACCGAAGCGGGTGGGTGACCATGCTCCATTGGCTGCATGCGGCCTCTGACTCTTTTTGTCGTCCTGCTCATGCTTGTTATGGTTGAATTCTATTTGGTGGTAGTTGTTGATGCTGTGATTGTTCTGAGTCGCACACACTGACTTGAGTTTGTGGGTGCGAAAAAGAGCCAGAGCCAGCATTATCTCGAAGCGATCTCTATAAAGACACTATAAAAACAATATTGTACAAACACGTCGAAATGAAGGACCGTCTGAAGAAATTAAGTAGGTTGGTAGGCAGGCCTCAAAGGTCGAAGCGGCCATGGACAAATTCCTCGCTCTCCATGTTGGCGTCGTTGTCGATCTCCATCTCATCTTCCTCGTCAATCTGGTCGTCAATAACCTCGTCATCTGGTGGGAGGTTGGAGTTGCCTGGAATGAAAGAACCAGAATGTTTGAATGCTTGATATCTATGCGATTTGCTGAAGTGGTCGTCCATGGCCGAGTCGTCCACATAGGTGAAACCTTGGAAGTTTGCCTGGATACCTGGTGAAAGAGGCGTGGAGGCCATCTCCATGTGTTTCTTGAGCACAGAGGTGGACTCGTTGGTGAACTCGGGGTCGAAGTTGGACGTGTCGGTTTCTGATGAAAGGTGGGGCTTGAATGGAGGAGGAATGTCTTTAGCCTTCAACAAGTTCCAATCAACGTCCTGGAAGAATGGATGCTCTTTCAACTCTCTAGCGTCTTTTAATGCACCAAGTCTATGACGTGGGTTTCTGTTCAACAAGCCCTTGACAAACGATCTACCCTCTGGGGACAATACCTCCTTGGGGAAACGCACTTTGCCAAACGCAATGTTCTTGTACATCTGTTGGGTGTTATCGGCGTAGAATGGAGACCAGCCACAGCACATCTCGAAAATAAGCACACCCAACGACCAGAAATCCACCATCTTGGTGTATCCACTCTCATCCAAAAGCACCTCAGGTGCTAAGTATTCAGTAGTACCACAGAAGGTGTTTGTAGTACCGTCATTGTTCAAGTTGGCCTTGGACAAGCCAAAGTCACACAAAGCAATGTGGCCCTTGGCATCCAACAAGATGTTCTCTGGCTTCAAGTCTCGGTAAACAATGTCATTGTCATGCAAGTGTTCCAAGGCAAGAACCAACTCAGCAATGTAAAACTTTGCTCTATCCTCGTTGAAGCGGCCCTCTTTCTGGAGATGCCAGAATAACTCGCCTCCCGACATGTAGTCGGTGACGAGGTATAAGTCCGTTGGGGTCTGGAAGGAAAACTTGAGACCAACAATGAATGGCGAGGCAGCAGCAGAGGTACGAACAAGGATGTTTCTCTCACCAATCGTATGAGCGATTTCTTTCTTCTTGACAATGAGCTTCTTCGACAAAATCTTCATGGCGTAGATACGGCCATTGTCCTTGTTCTTGACCTGGTAGACCTGGCCAAAAGTACCTTTACCCAAGAGTCGAAGCACCTCAAAGTCGTCAGGGCCGTACAGCTTCTTGGAATCAAATCTGGTGTACTGCCACTTGATTTGCAACGAGCCGGTGACTCTTTCACCAACCACACGTGCACGCAATGGCTCCCAGCGGGGCTCCTGGGTCTTGTTGGCGCTTGGGGTGTCTGTGTTTGGCACAATACGCACCTGGCCCAAGAAAGCGTCGTCTTTGGCGGCATCGTAGACGGAAATGTCCAATTCCGAGTTCGAGCCCACCACGTCAAACACTGCCTCATGGTTCCACACCTGGGTGGCCAGGCCCTGTGAGAGCTGGAACTGCTGCGTGGACAGCTGGCGCTGGTACAACGCTGGTCTCTTGTCGCGTGGCTGCTTCATGGGCATGCCTGGAGATAAGCGGTTCTGATGAGGAGCAAGCATGGGCAGCTTGGATGGGGTCAGGTTGTTGACGAATTCCGAGCACTCGTATGTCAGCACCACGTACGGCTGGGAGTACTCGGAAATCAACAAGTCCTTGGCGCCGACAATGGTGACCTTCAACTTACCCTTGGGCTGCAGCGAGGTCTTGGCCTGCTGGAGCTGGCCCTTCTCGTCGGTGGTGATGATGACCGGTTGTGACAGGTCTGGGGGTGAAGGCGATGTCTCCATGTTGGAGTCGGCCTGGCTCTGTTCCTTGATGCTCTGGACAGCAGGAGAGGCCAAGCGCTGTGAGGAGGGGTCCGTGTTCAGCACGGAGGGATGCAAGTCGTGGGCAAACGAACCCTGAGCTCGTTGATGAGCCGATGGCTGGTTTTCCGATGTTGTTGTGGTTCCGTAGGCCAACTGTTGGCTCAGCACTGCGGTGGTCGGATGAGCGGCTAGGTTCTTGGGCAAGAACTTCTTGGGGTTTTCATGCAGCGGTGCCGGCAGTGGCGAGTTGGAGTGTTCTTCTGGCGAAGCGTCTCTCTTGAAGCCCAAGCCGAGAATGGACTTGGCAAAGTCTGTCATGCGTTGGAGACGATGGCGTAAAGGGGGATGACGGTGGGGAGGCGGGCCTTGAACTTGCTAGCAGTTAAGGAGAGAAATAAATAGCAGGGTGTGTGTTTGGCTGGTTGTATGGAGATGGTGTTGGGACACAGGAAATGAGATAGGGCGAGAAAAAAACGCACCGATAGACTGGAGGAAGGAATAGCGATAAACGGAGGCCACGATGGAGGGGATGACGTGTTGGGGGATTTTGGTAGAGAGTTCACTGGAATTGCTTGATTTGTTTTTTGATTTGAGAAAAACGCTCTTTTGTGGGTTTTGTATTCTCGGCGGAGGCAAATTGTGGCTTGTGTGTCTTGAATCGCTGCCACTTAGGGAGGCCAAGCGGCTATATTCCGAGGATGGAGAAAAAGTGTGATGTAGAGCTGCAGGTGGAAAAAAGAGTTTTCGAACCTTCTATTTAGAGAAGCGATTCTTAATTTCACTCTTGTTTTTTACAGTTTCAAGGCGTCCCTTTAAGGAATTTAAGAGCCCGTGCAGACACTCCGTGGGTGCAAATGCACGGGTCCACCAGGTGAAATGGGTCACCCAGCTTGGCCCACTTTTGATAAGCAGTGGCAGGTGAAGTTTGTGGAATTAGGTTACAAAAACGATGTTTTGACTCGATTGACGAGGCCGTAAAAGCTTACTCTTTCGGTGCTTAGTGGGCCCATCACACTGGCCACCTGCAAGCCTCACTGGTCATACAAGCGTGCTCATGTGCCTCTTTCTTTGCCCGGTGTGTACTTTGTGGCTGGAGAAGAGATATTTTTTACATTTTTGGAGGCGATCAGGAAGGAGGTTTGGTAACGAAGAATATTTTATTTCTTTGGGAAGCTGTGATTTTAACGGTGTGAGATTGTGTGGGTATTCAAAGAGCATAGAACGTTCGCTGGTGCGAGGCAGAAGGCGCATGTAGGTTTTTTCTGCTTGTTTACTTGGAGAACACTTTTGGCGCTGGGTAAGATTCTATAGTGATATTATGGAATGTCACAATGGACTCAAAGAACCCAAGCTCAAACGACTAAAGTGCTTGCAAATTAGATAAAATCAAGATTGAGGACATCGTAAATCGATGAGTGCCAAATCACAGGATCGGATCAAGTTTGTAGGCTCGGCTTGGAAGAGTCAACGGTCGTGCAGATGCACCGCTGAAGCCTGTTTGTAATATTCTTTTGGAGTGATCTTTCTAGGTATCTACAGCAGAAATTTCAGAAAGATGTATGAGAGATATTACGGGGAAAGGTAAAATGGCCGAAGCTTTGGTAAGCGTATAGCTCTCTGGCTTTGGCTTATAGCTCTTCGTATACGAGGCTGATACAATGCACCAAGCCGACCTTCAATCCTTTTTCTTTGTACACAACGAGTAAGCAAGAATACGGGCATTCCTTAGGAAAACTTCACTTCGATAATATCCCCCGTTCTGTTAAATCTCAGTCAATTTTTGTTGTCCATCTCGGTGGCTGCAAATCGAGCACAGCAACGACACTATGCGCTACCACAAAAGGCACATCGTCCGACTCAAAAATACTACCTTCTCCCAAATCCTCTAAAAATGCATTAAGTACCAAAAATCAATCTCACCTCCGCCTCTTCCGTCTAATCGCTAGTCGGCATTTATAGGTGGTGATGGCAGTTGGTGTGTGTACAACACCCATGTATCTCAAGCAGAAAAATTCATCAACAGTTAGACCCCAATCATGAATACCTTTTCAGGTGCTGCTAGACAGTTCTCAACGTCGGCAGCGACGTTGAGGGATAGCATGTTCAAGATCACCAGATACGCCAAACCCCAAAGCCACACTGTCTACAAGGAGGGCGACAAATTGCCCGACAGCTTGATTCCTCGTTACAAGAAGCTCTATCCCGAGTATGACTACGAAACCATGTTCTTCAAAAGACAAAACAGAGGCCTCTTTGCCGGTCTACAGAGAAGAACACACAAGAGGGAGAGTGAGAGTAAAGTCAAGACCCTCAAGTCGCAGCTCCCCAATATTGTGAAAACCAAACTATGGTCTGAGACTTTGAACCGTAGAATCGCCACCAAGGCCACCACCACTGCATTGCGTACAATCACCAAAGACGGTGGTTTGGACAACTACTTGCTCAAGTCATCGCCCATGAGAATCAAGACCATGGGATTGAAGGGCTGGAAGTTGAGGTACGATATCTTGAAGAAGAAGGAGATCGAGCTGAACTCTGAGGGCAGCGACAAGACCGTTTACCATATCCTGGACTCCGGTAAGAAAATCACCGTGGGCAGAAAGAAGCTCTTGGAGACTTTGTACCCATACGTCTACAAGGATAGCTACACACCCACGCCTTGGAAGTACTTCATCAAGACCCACACCGTGTTGACCACCGAGGAGCTTGTGCAGAAGTTGGAGGCCTACGGCCACGATTTCGCTGACATCACCGTCTAAGGAGGGCATTTACTTGTACATAATAGCATAAAATAGAAACACAGACATAGCAGTCACATGATCACGTGAACAGATAGCTCAGTAGGAGCAGAATGTGCAGGTCGCGAAAGTGCCCGCGGTGCCCATAGTGAAGCGCCTTCTTACACCCGTACACCCATACATTGGCCTCAGTGCTTCCCTCTGCAGGCAG